CTGCCTGTAAGTACTGCCCTCCAGGTCTTAAAGGCGTATGTCTCCAATACTGGCTGTATCCCTGAACACACAGAAATCTACCTAGCTCTTCTAACCACCATGCTCTTGCTATGGCTCTAATACCTCTGACCCCAGGGCAACTTTATTTATTAACATAAAATTAAAATCACATTTCAGTACAAATAAAATATCACCATATCCATTAGTGAAGATAAAATTAATGAGGTTAGATCTCTCATCAATGTAGATCTTAGTAGAGCTACTATCTGAAGATTAATACTTCAACACTTTTGTGGCCACACTTTGCATTTGATCGATAGTGAAGACTCTTCCCGTTTAACCTTGTTGCCTGTAAAGTAAATGAATGATTTGGAAAAGAGTTTGTAACAAAGATATTCTATGGGATATTCCAAACATATGATTCTTCAATATTTTCTTTTAGGACTGATATAAGAAAATTGCATTTATATTTCAAATAAACAATGAATAATTCTTAGTAAAATTATGTTTCAAAAATTCCATGGAGATGCATTTTTGTTATTTTTTCCCTTTTAGTTCATCTAAGAATGCATCACTACTTTTACCACTGTCTAAAAGTCTCTTTCAGTAGACACAACAATATGTGTATCACTTGAGTGATGTAAAGAAGCCCAAAGTGTATTGAATTTGCACACAATTGTATTAACAATGAATTATTGTTAATGATTTGTAGAGGAAAGACTGTGCCTGGATTTTCTATCCAAAAGGCACAACAGTACATATTGCATATAAGATATTATTTCTGCTCCTAAACACATTAAAACTTATTTACACACTCCACAAATAAACTGTTATTACTCTACATATAATAGACTTCAGAAACTATATGACATGTCCATGGTTTAATTTTATTTTATACAATGAATTTATCCAAAGGCATTATAAATAGCTCATTTTATATATCAAAGAAAATTGCAGAAACAAAGCTGTGAAGGAGTTAAGAAACTAAAATAAGAGCAAAAACGTATTCAGATATGATATGTTTATATTTTAGTTGTCAATGGAAAAATGATAATTATTCACCATTCTGTAGAGAAGAAAAAAATTCTCAGAATATGTACTAAACAGTGCTGTACTGTTAAAAGTGTATATTACTTGGCAAATACAATGGTCAAAATTAGTTAAACAGCAAAAAAAATTGTTTCTGATGAACAGTCAAAGAGAACAAATTTAAGCGGTTGTAGGAAAACTTTGGAAATTATTCTCCAAGACTCTTTATCCAAATCTCCTGGACTATGAATTTAAGATAATGACCTCTGATTTTTTTTTAAACTTTATTTGGCAAAAGAGATTCTTCCAGATATACCCAAAGTTACTAGTGTTACTCTTCTGGTTTTTAGTAGTGATTACAAAAAAATTTTAAATAAACATTTCAAAGCCTGTATGAAAGTTTATTGAAATATTCAAGAAAAGGAAATGATAAATATTCAGTAAAGAAACAATCTTCAATTTGATCTTAAAAACTTTGTGCTAAACCCTTCTATTGGCTTTAGATACTCTTATCATACAAGCAAACCTATTACTAAAGCACTTGTAAGATCATATTTTGTCCATGATTACCGTAATGTCACTAGATATATATTTTAAAAGTTGTTCATGAATATATAAAATTTAAAATAGTACATATCTAAGGGGTACTGTGACATGTTTAAGCATGTATATAGTACATCAAACTTGAGTCTAGTCTCCTGGAGTCTAAAATTATTGCTACAATAGCAAAAAGGAAAACGAGGGCCTCATTTTATAATCATGGTACTTAGATTTAGTTAACAACTTTAAGGAGCCTAGAAACCCACTATTTTCCAACAAGTTCCTATGAAAAGGACATTTGATACAATACACTGATTTCTGATTCTTTCATCCATCAGCATAGAACCTAAGCAATTATACTACAAATTACAACATAGTAAATTGCAATCTGATATTGTTAAGCTACTATAATTTTGACAAATTGCTAAATAGACAACGGAAAACTTATGCAATGATCATCAAAAATACCATCAATATAAGTAAAAGAACTTTTATTATATAATACAAAAAGTTCCTAGTTTTCTCTTTTTCCTACATCCCATTTATCAATTTTGATCATCTATGCCTTTGAGTGAAGGAGAAAAGTAAGGGACACAAGACATTATTTTTTGAAACAAATTATCCTCAAATTCTTAAAAATAGAGCCACTATGACACAATAACATATGATTTTGTCAGATCAATTGGCATCTTATTGCCATGATATTGTCATGCTAAATTGATTGTCAGTCTAAAAAATCCCAAAGAAAGAGTCAATTCAGAGAATGACTCCAGGCTGCAGTATCCACTTTCAAGATTCTGAATCTCCTGAAAAATTTTTAAATTGCTCAGAGATCTTTGAGAAAAAAATATGTTGGGTTTATAGTAAATGAGTTTTTGGCTTTGTGTATTGCCAAATATGCCAAATAGTAGTAGTAGTAGTAGTAGTAGTAGTAGTAGTAGTAGTAGTAGTAGTAATTAGAGGGGGAGGAGGAGGAAAAGGAGATGGAGGTGGAGGGCAAGGAGGAGGAGGAGAAGTACAAATAGTAGTAGTAGTAGAAGAAGAAGAAAAAGAAGAAGGAGGAGGAGGAGGAGGAGGAGAAGGAGAAGAAGGAGGAGGAGA